TCATATGGACATACAAACTTATCCTTTTGGGGATATCCTTATAGTGTCCACAAATGTATATCCTATGGACAGCTTGTAAGGCTCATGGATGTCCCGACCAGAAATGGACATAAAACGGATGTCCATAGGATATCCTGTGCTGTCTGGGTAAGGACATTGACTCGTTTTTGAACTCTTGAAAAAGCGCCTTCGACTCGCATCGTCCGCCTCGGCGCGTACCTGCGAGACAGCTCGTCTAGTTGCGTCATTCCTTACCCCCTCCACTTCCAGTCCCATCTCGTTCGCACACGGGATTTACTCTCACACTCAAACTTCCGAATTAAATATCCTGGGGTCCGGACGTAACACACTTATAATTCATCTTTTGTACGTGTAAGTCTTTTGTACATGTTTCAGTTTACGCTTTTCTTCTATTTCAGTCATATGTGATCCTGCTACTGATAAAGGTTGCACCCAAGGTTTATCTGCAAATAATTCTTGCATAATCTGAAACAAAGTACATAATGTCTATAATTAAAGTTATATATATATATATATATATATACACATATTGTAAAATTATAGTGTGTGTGTGTGTGTGTGTGTGTGTGTGTGTGTGTGTGTGTAAAAGTTACGGAAGAAAATGATTGTTGTGGGGAAATCCGACATACAGCGTGCAATTATGCGCGTGCAAAGTACCATTTATGTACGCATTAGACCATTAGAACGATATTTATCATCGTGTACGGACGTGTTCGTGGTCCGTTTGTGAACTTTCGCTAATCTAATATTGGATTGTATTTATGATTAGAAACAACCAATTACGATGCGAATTGACTTCCTTCGAAATATTCCACGCGCGCTCGCATTCGATAAGTCGCTCATTATATCATTCTTGACTAAGACGATTATGTATACATTTGCGATATCTTGTCACACTTAAATAATGAATTTGCATTTCGTGGAACTTTAACCTTTTACGGAATTGATCGGAGAGACAAGTTTCTCTCTCCGAAACCAGAAGCTGTTTCAGCGACGCGCAATGCCCGCGGGTGAAATCAGTTCAATTTATTGGTGCAAAGCGAGG